TTTTAAAATTCGCAAAATTGCACCTCAAGATGATGTATTCTTGAATCCAAGCCTTTGAATGCAAGGAAAATGTGTTCACTCCACGGGAATTGCACAATGTAAAGCTGATCCATAGTACACTCAGTTGAAGTTCCATCATCAACAGCTTTGACAAGCTCAATCAACGTGCACATTCTGGGACGTAATGGAAGTGGGACAACATTGTGCCAGCGGCTAATGTGAATCCACATCGGTGTCCATCGGGTTGAAGGACCCTGATAAACGATATTAGATCAAGGTAAGGCTTCGGAAAAATGTATTTACCGAATTGCCACTGACGGGAGCGAACCCTGAAATTCAGGGTATTCAAGGATGTGAAGGGGCGTAACAGCCATTAAGAAAGACTTGGGTGCTCGGAAGTGGCTGCCGCTCTCTCTTTTCAGTCTGAAAATCCGCTGCCCACGAAATGTCACCTCAGAAGAATATGGGAAATATTTTATTCAAGCATTCTATACAACATTGGCGAAGCAACAGGTTCCCGATCACCACACACCAAAGGCAATCAATTATTGACAATGATCCTTGATGCAGCTTCAGCCGGTGTTCTCGGCGGCACTTGGAGTTCCTCGCATTCATTTCCAGCATTGGTACATGTCTTCATCTGACATTTCATATCTTTCAGGCAGTGTGATTTCATTTAATATCTTCCATCTCAGCGGTAGTATTCTGACTTGTAAGTATATCTCTGTTTGAACTTCTCCGTCGGGTTCCATCTGGCAGTGTACTCGGTTCTATGATAGCTGTTGCAGCCCTTCCAGCTCTCAGTCTCTATGGCCATTTCATATCTGGCTTGAACGAGTTTGTTGTGGTGCAAGACGGAGAACAAAGTCTGAACATTGGAATTCTTGTACTACAATTAAATTCAAACTGTATGGCTACTGTTGAATTAGGGAGATTTCCCTTGTCTTTGCGGTGGGAATATCTGTGGCAATAGCACCGGTTTGTCAAATGTCCAACAAGTTCTCAGAGATGGTTGTACTTGCTTTGATTGTTCCAGGGCCGTTTAATATCTAACTGTATTTCAATCCTTCGCCTGTCCTACTTAAACACTGCATTGTTCTGCCCTGCCAATCAGGCCACCTACCTCGGATGTCATCCAACAATTCAAGGGCTCGAGTAACCAGGCGTTCATCTGCACACCATGTCGATAATCCTGTCCCTCCCTCCCAGAGTCAGCCAATACCCTCACAGCAACTCAGTGCAGGTGACCAACAACCCGGTGCTGCTCCATTGTCTTGTGTGTATTTTCTTTTCTTTCCCAGCTATATCTACTCACCCAGAATCAGCCTTACAGTCTCGCAGGGCAGGAACCACAGGTGCGAGTTTCATGATGCTTCCTAACTTAACTTATGGTTTTGTTTCAAGGCCAATCCTCGGGAGGAACTGGTACACATAGCCTGGCACCAATCCCTGAGACGGTACCTGTTCTGCTCTTAAATCATGCATTTATAATTTAATTTCACCGTGCCAGGTTACACCCAGATCAGCTCTTCAGTCCCCTCCATCGACACCATTGAATCAACAGTTGCAGGCTCCTGGCTGTGTTGTTGCAAACCGATTAGCAGTGCAATTCACACAGCAGACAGCCATGGCCAGCCCTGGTCCACGTTTGCGTAATATCCAGTTCGAATCGGCGGGGGACTCTGATTCAGATTCGGATGAGCATCCGGTTCGTCAAGTTCGCCGTAGCACTCGTAGTGCAGTCCCAATGGCACACGGGCCAGTTGTTACTCTGAATTCCGATGATGAAGAACTCAATGAAACCCCTCCCGCACCTCAGCCATCACGCTGTGGGCGTGGGACTGGGTCTGCAGCACCTACTCTTCAGCCACACAGCACTCATTCGAACCAAACTGTGATACATTCTGCTGACAAGTGGCACGGACACATTTCATCAAGCCCAGCCTGGATATTGCTGCCAAATATTATAACAGGTTTGGTGACACGGATGCCTATATCATCTCGATGTGTAAGTGCAGCTGTTTTCTTTTGGGAGTTCTCGTAAAACACGATTGGTGCTAGTCATCAATCCGTCCGTTCGTTTTGAATGGATCAAGCAGAATTGGTCCCCCCCCAGATCAAGCGATGGCAAGGAAAATCATTTATGAGAAGGTTTTCAACTTCATCCGAGCCCTTGAAATAAGTACTGAAAATTTCAAAGCTCAAAGCTTATGAAGCCGCAGCCATCAGCGAAAATGCTTCCGGCTCAAGCCCCCCCTGTGGGATCTGAATCAGATTCTGGCAGTGGTGCACTATCTCATTCTCGAACAGTGCACACAGGAATACCGAATTTGGCACAGCGCCTTCGTCATTCCCAACAGTCTCTTGATTTTTCGACAGGAAGAACCGGTGGGAACCAGTCAATTAAAGAAGAGGTGAGGCACTACGAGCATAGTGTGATCCCTCCCAGGAGCTCGACTGATATGATTGGCTATTGGATTGTGAGTGCTTGTTTAAGCTCATATACAATCTAACAACAACTGCTGAACCTCTTATTCAGTAGAATCACGGGAAAACAACGTGGCCTAGGATATACCGCCTCTTCACCGACTATGCCGCAATCCAGGCAACTTCTGTGCCATCCGAAAGAGTGTTTTCATCTGCAGCTGAGACTGATACGAAACGACGGAACCGTATTAGTCCTATGCTAATGCAGGCTCTTCAGATGTTGAAGTTTCATTTCAAAACATCAAGGCTGAACTTCATGTCTGATTGCCAGTCTGCCATTGGTGCCGATGACAAAGAAGACTGGCTGCGGGTTTTAGCATCCACAGGTGATGATGAGCACAAAAAGGTTATTAGGAGGGAGATTTCAGAAAGCTGCGACTTCGCAGAGATTCCATACCTTGAAATGCCGGAGGAGAATGGGGATTGAGTTTGATCTCATGTTCCCGTAAATAATTAGGACAGTTTCGAGTTGTTTTTATGTATCTAGGTCACATTGTGTGCTGGTTTAAGTATTTATCAAAAAAAAGTCTTGACTTCATCGACTTGAGTCGACTCAAGTCAACTTCGAGTGACTTCAGTGGTTCCAAGTCGAGTCGAGTTGAGTCAAACCTGAATTTAAGTCGACTTCCCGAGTCGTGACTCGACTTATCGAGTCGCGGCAACATTAACCCGGCGTTTGTGCAAGCACTTCTAAGATTGCATGCATGTTCCCCCTACATAAGCTGATCGGCAGAGGAGTTTTTGAGGAGATTGGAATATTTATGCATTGTAGAAATGGGTTCATAATTTGGCCTGGTCCGATATTGAGGTAGCTTTTCTCCAGGAAATTTATCAAGAGAAAATCGACGAAATAGCACCTGCCGCTAGATCCCGAGCTCAGCAACCAGCAGCCCGATTCGAAACAAAATGCGCACTGGAGCTCTCCGGAGGTCGTAATACTGCTGAAGTTTTTGCTGGAGAACAAGGCGGCTGTGGGGGATGGATGCAACTTCAAACTGACGGCTTTTCGGGGCGCGCCGCTCCTCAACGCGAAAGTTCAGAAAGGCGGGCTTAAAATGGATAAATCATGTCAATCAAAATTCAGTGGCGTACGTACACTTTCTGTGGACATTTACCATTCATCTTAATGCTTTCCAGCTCAAGGTCTTCCGGGCGATACAGGACATCCAGGGCACGTCCGGGTTTCACTGGGACAATGACACGGGTGCCAGCATCGACGTGGCTTCTGCAGATGCTTGGAAGGAGTACGTCAAAAACACCCGGAAGCGAAGCTTTTTAGAAACTCGGGCTGGCCTCACCTGAGCCTGATGGAGCAGATAATGCCTGCGAAGGCGAAGGGGACACACGTCTTCCGAGCCTCTCAGGCTGTCGTCGCCTCCCAGGCCGTCGGCGATGATGAAGATGTTAGAAGTGTTGATGGGAATGGCGGTAAGTAGCGATAACGAGGATGCTGTCCGCGCCCACCTCGTCGTCAAAGCCCCCCACCCTCTACGCCATATGAGCAGAGGAAACAGCCCCGCCTCACCGGTGGGGGAAAGGCCCTGGCGGACATTGTTAGTGCTGCCGCTGATTTCAACGAAATCATGAGTGGTTAGTGCTGATGCTGCTCCAGCGACAACTGCTGCTGCTCCTGCAGGTTTGACCGTCCCGGCACCAGCTGTTCCGGCCTTTCAAACGACTCCGCACCGCAGACGTGATGCAGTCAAGCGTGCGCAACGGCTCGAAAAATAGCTCGGTATGAACAATCTCGTCCGTTTCACTGAGCTATTGCGTCAGGATATATTGATGGACTGCCTCCCCAGCGACGAGAAAACCCTTTTCGAATATCCAACGCCGGACAAGTTCGATGATGTAGCGGTACCAGGTCGAATCTTTCCGAACCTCTTGACGACGGCGCATATCTGCCTTGGTCCCCATCTCTGGAATCTTCGACTTCTCTATCAAGCAGCGTGGGCATGGGCATCCACCGAAATATTTGATCGTCGCGAGGAGAACCCTGAGTACGGTTAGTACAGAATTAAACCAAGGTAGCGGACTCACTTCTCTGGATAATCAGCGCCATAAGTAAAGAAGCGTGGAAAGACGCGACGCTCGATGCCGTCATAGCACTTGACAACGATGCCATGCGCGTATGCGTAAATGAACTCCGGTGTCAAGAGCAGGACCCAGATTCCATGCATCAACTCGTGTTTGAGGTGGGCCATCACGTCGGCGGATAGCGTAACACTGGACGTGGCGCGATAAAAATCCTTGACTGAATCTGGAAGCTACAAGAGGTTGTCAGAAGCATTAAAAACAGAGTCATTGAGACACGAACCGATGGGAAATATGCTTGATGATGGCAGGCATTCGAGGTTGGTTTGGCGCGCGTATACTTCGACAGGTTCCCGAATAGGGTGTATAGCGGCCAGAGCGATGCATTCCCAAAACTCGTGAGGTGAGTAGTGTCTGACCAAAACATGTATGCTGCAATGATTGTCTCAAGATACATAACCTGTTAAAGCACAAAAGATTGGCTGAACCGGGACTCAAACCCAGGACCTTCTTGTTACATGTGAGATGCTCTTATCCAACTGAGCTATTCTGCCAATAGTGTGAGAGGAACACAAAGTGCACTTCAACACTCTCCTGGTTCCCGAGCACTATTGGCTCATCGGAAACACACTAAGGAGGGCACCAATCTTTGCATGCACAGAACTAGATGTCTCATTTATCCAATCTCCAATCATTTTATCCTCTTTCTATTTCATTTCCCATCTGCATCACTCCTGTTTCGGGTTTCGGTCATTCAAGACTTTGTCCTTCAGCAAGCTTTGCTCTTTGGAGCTATGCTCCTGGGTTGGTGTTCTCGGGCCTCATATTTTCTCTCCCGAAGTCCCAGAGCGCCTTGCGTCCTGAAATTGACATCCTCTCGTTCCAGAACCTTCTCTAGAATTTATCCATTCATTGCTCTATCGCAACTTTTTATGTTGCTGATATATCTCTGTTCTGGACGAGACGCGAAGCCAATCCTTCGCAGGTATTATCAATTTCATTGGCAAACCCTGCTTCTCATAATCTTTGCCTCACCCATCGCCTTCGCGGCGATTTTCTCGGTCCATTAATATTTGTCTCTAGATCCTCCCGGCGATTGCTTTATCACTCCGAGGTCCGTAAACATTTGTTCTGTCAGTCAAATCCGTCGCGGGTTGACCCGGGTCGGCATCATCTGTGGTAGACCCTACTTATTTCCACCTCCGGCAATATATTATAAAGGCAACAAAATCAAACATCCACCTTTCAGTTGTTCTGACTTCTACACTGCATTGAATTGAGACCACTGTTAAATAACTGTATGTATTATAGTGGATGGATGTGCTGAACCAACAGTACTACTTGCTCGGCCGTCCCCTCTTTTTCTTGGCTGCAGCATCCGTGGGCCCTGCGTCGTTCGAAGGCCGCCCCCTCTTCTTCTGCGGCGTAGCGGCGGGTTGTTCCTTAAGTTGATCCTCGGCTGCGGACTGATCCTCTCTCGCGGACTTGTCTTCCTCGCCGCGCTTGCATTTCCGCGTGCGCTGTTCCTTGAGCTTGTCTTCTCCTGGCTTTAAAATCAACAGTCCAGGTAGGCACATTACAATGTGCTCTGGCTGCAGCCAGGGGTACACATTACAATGCGTCCCTCAAGGTTGCACAGGTGGTACACATTACAATGTGCACCCTTCCCCGGCAGCCACCCATCATTCCCGGCATCTGCGGCATGGAGGTTCCTTTATTTGTACTTGTTGTCAGTCCATTAAAACCGGAAATTTGACTGATTTGGCCAAAAAGCAGTTATCCCGGGGATTTCCGTGATGTTGATGAATATTAGCATGCTCGGGCATTGCCGGAAACTTGATGGTAGATCAAAAAAGTACCGGGTTTTCGAATGTATTTTGCATTTTGTGGGCCAATGAAGCCACTAGTGCAGAAATGCTTCTAGATGACTTCTATAGCTCTCAGACAGCTCTACAACTTTGATTTTCACAGACAAAAGGTGTTTTCCGAGTGAGTTTCCTTTTTGGGACACTACCACATTGCGTCCAAAAAAGGAAATTACCACTAGAAATTGCTCCCTGGGTCGTCCCTCAACCGTTTGGGCTGGTCTAAATTTGTAATTTTCATTATGAATAGCTTCTCAATAGTATTAGCACACAAATTTTGGAAAATAACTGTTATACAGATGCTAATGACTCAACTGCTAAAATTGGTCTGTTCGATAATAGCCTGTGGTAGGCCCCATGGAGGAGGTATCTGAATCTCAATAATGGTACATATATACCATGGAAGCAGCCCCAGCCTATCTTGATAAGCCTTTTGAGGGACATGGGTGCTATTGGGTCTATATTAGAAATTTCTTGTTCACACTGGTACCCACCTTCTAGCTGCCAGGAAGCTCTAAACTTCGGGTCTGCTGGAGGTCAGCAAGTGCCATTCGTTATTCCAAGTGTTAGTACAAAGCCAAGATATGTGAAATAGTCTGCAGAACACATTCTATGTTTGTAAATGTTTTCAACATCACTGCCTTTATTCCCTTCTGTGTCCTTCAAATTTCATGCAGAGTAGTGTCATAGGGTCTACCTACCATATACCTTGTGTAGACTTGGTGAAAAGTGCCCACAGCACACCGAAAGACCTTCACAACTATCAGTGTGGTGAGTGCACCATCAGAAACCCATGGTGAGTGCACCATACCTCAAATAAATCGAAAAATAGGGCACTAAAGAGGGAAGCTAGAGTGAAATAAGGTATCTCAGAAGCAACACACACTGTGGGAGTCCAGGATTGTTCATTATTTGAAGTGTTTTGGCCAACATTTGGTCAGATAGTGGGTTGAGTGCTGTACAAAGCCATAGGCATAAAGTTGTAGTTCAGTTCAAAAACACAATATCCTCAATACTTGACCAAACCCTTTGAAATAAGGAAAGATATGGAACATTTGGAATGTCTGATGCCATTCTGACTCTCGCTTTCACCCTCCCTGGTCTACTTGGCCCTTAAATGTACAGAAGAGTAAAAAATGACACTTCAGATTTCATGTCCTTACAGTATGGTATCAATGCAAATCTTGGGTCTAAACTCTTTTTACACTGCTTGACACTAGTCCTGAGTCGACATACACATTCTTGTCATCTTGGGGTAGGCCCAATGGGTTAAACATAGACTTTCAGAATCATCATGTTGATAGAGAGTCTGTGACTCCTCCTGAGCACTGAGGTCTTTGAGAAAACATCAGACTGAGCATAAAACCATTTAGAGCTGTGTTTGAGATATTTATGATGGCTATATACAATAGAATCTGACAATTCTGCCCATACCTGATGTGGCTGAAATCTGTGCTTCATAGCGCTTAGAACACACCTTGCAAGTAACTGTGTAATTTTATAATATAGGAATATAAGCTATGGTAATTGGGAGCTGCTGGTATGGCTTCAGAGCAAAGATATTGTGATGGGAACTTAAATTCGGTTTGAGGGCTAATATATTGGTAATAAATCACCGTAATCTGCTTGGGTATGCTCCATTACAGTTCTGAGGGTATGAAAGATGATATCAGTAACATTAGAACAGCCAAAATGGTTGAGGGGCGACCCAGGGAGCAATTTCTAGTGGTAATTTCCTTTTCGGGACGCAATGTGGTAGTGTCCCAAAAAGGAAACTCACTCGGAAACACCTTTTGTCTGTGAAAATCAAAGTTGTAGAGCTGTTTGAGAGCTATAGAAGTCATCTAGAAGCATTTCTGCACTAGTGGCTTCATTGGCCCACAAAATGCAAAATACATTCGAAAACCCGGCACTTTTTTGATCTACCATCAAGTTTCCGGCAATGCCCGAGCATGCTAATATTCATCAACATCACGGAAATCCCCGGGATAACTGCTTTTTGGCCAAATCAGTCAAATTTCCGGTTTTAATGGACTGACAACAAGTACAAATAAAGGAACCTCCATGCCGCAGATGCCGGGAATGATAGGTGGCTGCCGGGGAAGGGTGCACATTGTAATGCGTACCACCTGTGCAACCTTGAGGGACGCATTGTAACGCGTACCCCTGGCTGCAGCCAGAGCACATTGTAATGCGCCTACAGGGAGAGCTCTTAAAATGCGGAGTCAGTACGCTGCTAGTCTAGGGGTGAGAAGTTGCGTACTTTGGGGGGACCACCGTCGTTCTTTCGGCGCATACTACTACGTGTCCCGGGAAGGCCTTTTTAGTTTTGCTGCCCTTAGGACGTCCGCGTCCGCGCTTCTTCTCCGCTAACGGTGGGTGTTGGAGTGAATCATCCAGGCCTTTATAAGCTGAATGCTCACCCTGGGTAGTATCTTTCACGTCGCTGCCTGCCATGGAGTAAGGCCCTGATCGGGTACTCTAGAATTCGGCTAGAATCGTTTCTGTAGAATCATGTCACAGTGACCTAAACCATGTAACACTTGCCTTCTGCGAAATCAGTACACGATAATACTACGCGTTGCTCCTGCACCATGCCTGCCGTCCGCCGAACCAAGGACTCGACCGTCTCCGCATTACAACGGCAACCGCTCCGCAGCCCGAGTGGCCATCCTCTCCGTGCTATTCTTCGCTTCACTATTCCTTGCTCTGGAACGACCTCTACCCATACCAATGCACACATCAATTCTCAGTGGTCTTACCTGGCTTGACAAAGTACTGCACGGCCATCCTGCGCGCTGCCATCGGGAACTCGGCATGTCAGCATTGCAGTTTGCCCTGCTTTGGGCGGAACTTGCATCGACCGGAGATCTTGGTGATAGCCGTTACATCACGGTGCAGGAGCAGCTAGCCATACTCGTCTATTGGATGGTGCATGGGAGTAGCCAACGGGAGCTCCAGGAACGATTCCAGAGATCGGGCGACACCATTAGCCGATATCTTAACAAGGGTCTTCTCCTCCTCACGGGCTCGTTCTACGCAAAATACGTCAAAGACCCAGCCAATGAGACCCCCGAGAAAATTTTCATGAACTCTAGGTGGTATCCCTTCTTCAAGTACTGCCGGGGAGCAGTCGACGGCGTCCATGTCTCTGCATTTGCGCTCGCATGCGACATACTTCGCTACCGTGATCGTCACGGAGATATCAGCCAGAATTGCTTTGCTGCTTGCGACTTCGACATGAGATTTGTCTACATCATGGCTGGATACGAAGGAACAGCCGCAGACGGACTTCTTTTCAACTGTGCGCGGCAGCACGGATTCTCATTACCTGAAGGATGCTACTACCTTGCCGACGCTGGTTTTGCCAACTGCGACCTTCTCCTCGCTCCGTATCGCGGCATTCGGTATCATTTGAATGAATGGAAACGTGGAGGACAACTGTAATCATTCGTCTTTCCGTGATGTGTATCCACTAACAATTTTCTAGGCCTCAGACGAAGGAGGAGCTCTTCAATTTACGACACGCGCAGCTGCGGAATATCATCGAGCGCATCTTTGGCGTAACAAAGTGTCGGTTCCGGGTCCTCACGTCGGCTCCAGAGATGGGATATCGGCAGCAGGCATTGATGGTGAACACAGCGGGGGCGTTGCACAACTTCCTTCGTGTGCATGCAGGCATCAATGAT